CCGAAGGCAGTCGCTTAACCAACTGAGCCACCCAGGCGCCCCATCATATTTTATTTTGTTTCATTCTTAGAAGAACAATTCTGTAGGGAAGTATTTCTATATGCATTTAACAAACAAGGCTCAGAAACATCGGATAATTCTGGAGAGACCGCAAAGCTAAAAAGGAACGGAAATGGGATTCTAACTCATAAGATGCTTTGCCCAGGAGTCAAGGGTGAGCAAGAAACAAACACAAAGAAACTATTTGGATTTTTAAAGAGTTTGTGATTTGCTGAGGCGGAAGTGGGGAGTGAGTGGGATGACAGGGAAATCAACCTTAGCCATGTGCTGATAACTGTTGATGCTGGGTGAAGGGTTTTACTATGCAATTCTGCCTGCCTTTGTATGTTTGAAAATTTCCAATATAGAAGGTCAAACAGAACCAACTCACTGCTTAAAGGACGTTGACAACATAGAAAATACTACATATAAATAATCTTTTGTTGTTTACAGAGCAGAGATGGAGTATTACAAAAAGGAGAAAGAGCTAATTTTCAATTCCTAGATACATTTATCAAAACAGACCCACCTGGGCCGTCATGATACATGACATGCAGCTTGGCCTCTGCTTCCTGGGAAAGCCATCATTCTATTGTTGGGCCCTGGGCTGCTTCTGAGTTTCTAGTAACTACTTGTATTATTTCTGCTAACTAGATTGAGAATTTATATTGCAGGATATCAGTAGTGCTACTCAGGTTATTTTTTTTTACCCTATTTGTAAGCTTTTCTCACACTATCAAGAACTACAAGAAGACCGTGAATCTCACAGGTGGGAGAAAGCATATTTTACTCCAGAGAAAGTACTGCTTTGCTTAACTTGAAAGGCTACCTTTCACTATAACAGTGATAAAAACTTTTGTAGGAAGAATAACAAATATGTAAAATCACCTCCATTGCTGTGGGCCATTGTCAGGGCTTCCAAAGACGTTTCTGGAGTTATTTCTAACTGGCAGATCATGACTTTGGCTCTGCTAATGGTCCTGGCTGCTTCCCTCAGGTCTTCAGTATTCAAAAGTAAATTTGCTCCAGCCACTATAACGATGATATTCTGGCCTATAAAGAATTTCCGCATATTTATGTTAAAAACCAAGAGATGATATTCTGCAATGTTACAATCACCCTTACAAAGTTGTAATGCTAAATGTGTTTTAAGTCTTAATTTTGACATTTCTAGGTGATTCCGGTGAAATTCTATATTCCTACTGTATCTTCTTTTACAATATCCCTGCTCTGTAGGTTTAATATTATTCTGATAATTTTGAGTAAAATCTAAAACATAATTCCCCTACCAATATTCTTATATAGAAAGAACACTAGCTGGAAAATGATATATGGCATAGTTAAAAATGACTGGTACAGAGTATGTGGTAAAGATCCAAATCCAAAATGACAGATGTCATAATGATGTGTACGAACAGGAGTAAACTTGCCCAACACTAAAAACTAAGGCTTTGTAGTATGCAGTTTGTGTGTGTACCTTAGGGTATTCTGAAAATCAAAACATATTTTATAATATCTAACAGATGGGAAATTGTGCCAGATAACCTAAGGTCAAGAGAGGGATATTTGACCTATGCAATACCAGATCAAACAGAAGCTGAAGTAAGAATCTTATATACTCATTACTTGGACCCACTCTCAACAATCCCACCTAAATGGGGAAGAAGTGGGGTGCATTTTATCTGTGAGGTGAGCCCTCAAGAGCTGTGCTGTCCCATATGAGAGTCACGAGCCCAAGCATATGAGAGTCACGAGCCCAAGCCACATGTGGCCCTCGAGCACTTGAAATGTGTCTGGTCTAAATTGAGATGTGCTTCAATTGTACAATACATAGCAGATTTTATTTTTATTTTTTAAAACTTTTTTATTATGTTCAGTTAGCCAACATACAGTACATTATTAGTTTTTGTTGTAGTGTTCAACGATTCATTAGTTGCACATAACACCCAGTACATAGCAGGTTTTAAAGACCGGGTACAAAAAAAAAAAAAAAAAGGTAAAATATCTCAGTAGTTTTTAAGAACATTTTGATTACATGTTGAAAAGGATATTTTAGATATTTCAGGTTAAGTGAGTATATTAAGATTAATTTTACCTATTTGACTTTTTAAAATGTGGCTCATGGAAAATTTCAAATTCTGTCTGTGGCTTGCATCACGTTTCTTTTGGACGGCACGGATCTAGGGGACGAACTACAGCGGTCATTTCTTTTCAGTGCTCTGGGCTGCTTGTGCTGATCTTGTATACGCATGACCTAAAATTACCTCTGAACACAGAACACATGCTAGCCTATCATCTTACCACAGATGTGTCTGTTGGCCACAAGGAGGACTTAATAAGGTGGGGATGGTTCAGCATAAACCCAACCTTGGTACTGGAAAAATTCAAAGTACCCACACACTGAAAGACAGCATATCTCCTTCCTTTTCTCCTTCAGTGACCTCATTCTCTCTGCGTCTGTGCTGCTGACTCCTGAATCTACGTTTCTGGCCTGGCCTTGGCTGATAAGCAACAAGACCAAGCCTACAGCTGTCCAGTAGACATGGCCATATGGCCAGATCATTCATGCCTCCAATTTAACTTGTCAAAACTGAATTCTTTACTTTACCTTGCTACTCATTCCTTCACTTAAGGGAGCTGATGGTCCCCTCTCTGGGTATTTGTGTTAGCTCTTCTATGACCATCTAGAGTCTCAAGGGCATTACCAGATACGATATATAAATCAGACAAGTTCTAGCATAACAGGCACTCAATACACAATATTAAACTATATCTTTGCATGGAAAGTGTAGTTTCTTGCTACATCGATAAGGAAGAAATGGAACTCGAAGATATCCCTAGAACACAAAAAAGAGGTTTAAGACAGGGAATGAACTGCTGTTGACAGCAATAATTACTTAAAATTTAGCTGAAAGTAATGAACACAGACTGTCTATCGTTAGAATGAAAAATTTTATCTTTTTTAAGTGGAATACATTTTTTCATCGTTGTTATTACAACTCTGGGATCACTAGAGTAGAACTAAAAATACCATATCTTCTGTGAGAAATGATTGTATGAAACTATATTACAAATCAAAGACATTTTATGACAAATCCTAATTTCACAAAGTGCACGCTGACTGCCCACAATGCACCAGGTTCTGTCTGAGGTGCCCCATGAAATGCTTGGTACTTCTGAATATTCATTCTGAATTAAAGAATTTCACATAGGTTTTTTTTTTAATATTTAAAATAGTTGGCAGAAATGATGAAAACTTCACTTGAGGGTAAAGGGAAGTTACTGTTTTTAAAGACAAATGTTTCAACTGTTGCAAGGCCCTGTGACAGACAGACTTAGTTGTATATATAGGCTTTTGAGATTTGATTGCCGTTTAAAGAGCAGACAAAATTGAACACTAATGATAAGTTAGAAGTAATTAGTTGCTGCCATTTGCTCAGTAAATATTCTATAAATGTGATTCATTAACTTCCCTGTGCACCTATCTATTTACATTTATTTACCTGGTATAACTGAAATGACAGATGAATACTTAACTGCTTTTAGAGACAAATATCAATTCTGAGTTCATATGAAGGGTAAGGGGACATTTCAGGATATAAATATTATTTTGAGGCAACTGTAACACTTCCTATGTATTGATGGAGAATTTTATATTTAAATGATCAAGTTGGGAAGTATAAATAAAGGGAAACATGCACAGTTAGATGGGAAAGACCACACTTGGGGCCTTGGAGTGGTGGGTATGGGAAGAGATCCATAGGATTACGGTAAAAATTGATGCTCCTGCTCTCGTTCTGGACATGAACTGTTTCATGAAATGACACTTCAATGTGCGAAACACGTACCTTCATTATTGACGATTATAGACGCAGTTCCCGTAGCAGCATCTTGAGTCTGATATGTAAATTCTAAAAGAAAAAAGAACTTACAATCATATACACACAGCCTGGCGTGGATAATCTCTCTTAGCAATTTCAACGCACCACTCATCTTTGGAAAAACTTTTTAACCTTTAACCATCTGGAATGATAAAAGAAATAAGCAATCAGCGCTAATTTATACCCATCACCTATACAACGACGAAGACAGAAGCCTTTACACCTAGTTACACTTTTGCTCTACATTAGTAACAACCCAGCAAACCACCCCCCCCTTCCAGTTTGCCCACATTAATCATAGCGGCTACATCTGCATTCCTCTAGATTGTCACATTTCTTTTCTTCAGTGAAAGAAATGACAGACTTGAGTTGAGAGATGAAAGGTCAAACCTATACAACGAACTTGGTTGTGTTTCTTCATAAGCTTTGCATCTCATCAAGAATCATGGTCTGGAGTGTAAATGGAAATGTTGATCAGGCGGCCTTTGGCAGCAGCGAAAAGCCTTGAAATGGAGCCAGAGACCTGCATTCTGCTCCCGACTGGCTCCAGCTAGCTCTGTGCTCTTGGACACGTTGAGAACCAATCTGGCCTTCAGTCTCTCTTTGTGCAGCAATGGCATCAGCTTCAGTGGTTTCCAAGATCATTTCCAGCCATGACAGTCAATGACTTTTCTTAAAACATCTTTTGTGAATGCAGCACCTGTTTTCTCTTGCCACCTGCTTTTGAAACATTTCTACGAGATGAAGGTTTGTAACCTCTTACCATTTTATTCCCATCTGGAGGAATGTACATGAAAGAATTAACCAAACGACATTTAAGTAAGACGAGACGAGGCTGTGCATAAAAATTCTCTGGCCACCAGAGGAGGATCTAATAATTCTATTCCATATTCAACTGTTCTTGTAACCAGATCCCAGAGGAAAGTCATAAAAACTAACTTTAAAAAAGTTGCAATTTTACCTGTAGAAATATCGTTCTGTTTTAAGTTTTCTATATAGTCTTTGCCAAAAGAATCTTTGCCAACCTGTACCAAAAAAATGATGAATGTTAGATCTTTTACATTTAGTAAAATGCTACAATGTAGTTTTTAGAATACTTTAGCATTTTAAAAGGGCATATCTGCACAGTACTTTATAAACATTAGCTAATTAATCTTCTTAATGTAAGATGCTAGACTTGATTTCAACCCAAAGAATTGTTCCACTTATATCCTACCTAAAACGTGAAGCATTTAATGACTGTCAGGCGTTCTAGAACTCTGCTCTCACTTTGATCTGTTCATGTGGAAACTCCCACTGAGACAGAGCTGTCTACCATCAACAGTCCTCAATATTTATGAAGAATCTCAGTTGTTTGTACTTCACTATAAATGAGAGCATCTCTGTAATGACTTGCCTGGTGTTTTAGAATCTTCTTACCTGACACAGGATGGGTTCAGAGAAGAGGGAATTTAAAAAGCCCTCGCTAACTTGGGTAACTCGGTATCGTGGAAGTCTGTTGCTTTTGCATCCTAGCATGCACTCTGGAAATGATACTTCAGTTTTTCCCTTGGGTACCCATTCCTCTTCCATTCATAGGCAACATGGTTAAGGTGGCACATTTGTTACAATCACTGATCCTATGTTTGACACATTGTTACACCGAAACTCCATAGTTTAAGTTAGGGTTCACTCTGGTGGTGTACATTCCATGTGTTTTGACACATGTATAAACATGCATCCACCATTATAGTATTATCCAGAATGGATTCCCTGGGGTAAAAACCTTCTGTGCTCTGCCTATTCATCCCTCTCTCTGTCCAAGCCCCTGGCAACCACTGATCTTTCTACTGTCTCCATAGTTTTGTCTTTGTAACCTTTTCAGACTGGCTTCTTTCACTTAGAAAATACATCTAAGTTTCCTCCATGTCTTTTTTTGTGGCTTAATCACTCATTTCTTTTTTTTTTTTTTAAAGATTTTATTTATTTATTTGAGAGAGAGAAAGCACATGAGAGGGGGGAGGGTCAGAGGGAGAAGCAGACTCCCCGCTGAGCAGGGAGCCCGATGCGGGACTCGATCCAGGGACTCCAGGATCATGACCTGAGCCGAAGGCAGTCGCTTAACCAACTGAGCCACCCAGGCGCCCAATCACTCATTTCTTTTTAGTGCTGAAAAATGTTCCGTGGTATGGACGTACTGCAGTTTATCCATTTACCCACTGAAGGACATCTTGAGTTGCTTCTAAATTTTGGTAATGATAAATTAATGTGCAGGTTTTTGTGCAGATGCCCTCTTTTATTTTTATTATTTTAATTTTAGTGTAGTTAACCTACAGTGTTATATTGGTTTTCTTTTAAATTTTAACCAGTTAGGGGACTTCACAAAAACAAATTTCCAGGAGGTCCTGAAAATCCAGAGGTTCTGGTAACACTGGGCCCACATTCCTGCAAGGCCACCCAGCTGGAACTGCCCCAAAGGTGAGTGCATGCTCTCTAGACCAGAGCCCCCACCTGGCCTACTGCAATTTATGTTACTTGCTTGGCACCTCTAGGCTTTAGGCTTGCCACTCCTGAACTACTATTTCTCTGTCCTGCAGGTGAGCACTACTTCAACGGATCATGTATCTATCTGGGTCTCAGCCACTCCTGCTGTGCTCTGCTTTTCCACAGAAAATCGCTCCCTTCGGGATATATCAATAGAAAGAAACCTAGAGATTTACTTGGGCCAAGATCCTCAATGAGTGAAGAGAAAACTTCCTGGTAAGATTTTGGATTGTCTAGATCAGGGGTTGGAAAATATTTTTCTATAAAGGGCCAGAGAGGTAATAGTTTAGACATTGTGGGCCAGATGGTCTCTTTTGCAACTATTCAACTCTGCTGTTGTAGAGTGAAGGCAGCCAAAGAAAATCTGTAGACAAATGGATGTGGCTGTGTTCCAATAAAACTTTATAAAAATACGTAGTAGGCAAGATTTGCCCCATGAGTGGTAGTGTGCTGACCCCTGATTTAAATGCCACCTCTGAGAACTTCTTCCTCAAAGGACATTTTTCCCTGTGCTCCTTGTCTGGCAGAAATGCTGATTAGCCAATAACCTTGAACAATATATAATAATTTCTTATTAACAGAATTTCTATCTCTACAATGAAGAGCATCCACTAGAAAGCAATGCTGTGGGGGAGAGCTCCCCGGTGGAAGGAGGTAATCTATCAAAAGTTTTCTTCATGGAAGGCTGGCCATTTATCTACTGAAGCATCCCATTTCTTAGGTCAAAGATTCATACCAGAAATAAATTGTTTTCTCTCTTTTTTTTTTTTAAACATTATTTAGCTCTCTCCCATGGGCAATCAAGATACTATATAGTTGGAAAAGCATCATTATAAGAATGTTGTAGGGATTAGAGGAAGGCCATTCCTAGGCATGTGGGGCCTGGTACAGATTAGAGCAAAGAAACTTCTCTCCCCTTTCCTCTCAGTTTACTACAGGCAAAATCTGTTTAAGGTGAATTTCAAAGGCATATTTGATCAATGGTGCGATGATATAAACATCAGGAAGTGCAGGGATTAGGAAGAATTGTTCAAAGGGAGGAGAAAACCAAAAAGCATGTGGCTTTGCCCTCAGAAACTGTCGGAGGGAAAATCAGACCTAGAGAGGCACCTGTCACACCAAGTGGAATATCGTGCCCATCCAAGGCATAATCAGGGATTATGCTCATGGTAACTGCATTTGGCAGGCTTGCTGCAGTCGTATTTTATTTGTAATGTTTAAGTAGGCTCCATGCCTAGCATGGAACCCAACCTGAGGCTTGAACTCACGACCCTGAGATCAAGACCCTTGAGGTCAAGACCTGAGTGAGATCAAGAGTCAGACGCTTAACCAACTGAGCCCCCCGGATGCCCCATGCTACCTGTCTTCTTCCTGCTCTGGGAATCACCTGATGGGCAACGTCCCTCAGGGATGGTGATGGTTCCAGATTTATTCCAATAGTGAATTCCTGGCAAACCTGTAGGCTGTCTATGTGAGACGTGGAACAAAAATACTTCGCCTTTGCCCTCCTGGATATTTCCATGACAAAAATAAAAATCTGGTAATTAAAAAATAATGGCAAAGTAACGACGCTGCTGAGGATCAAGAGAAGTCAACCTTAGCTGCATTAACTTTGCCTCAGGGTCGTGGTGACACATTACCAAGTAAAAGAACTGAGTAGGAGGGCGATATTCACATTTGTGTCAGGGAAGTTGACCTGTGTGGTTTGGGGCAAGCCGCTGTAACTGCCCCTCGGCCTCAGTCTCCTTATCTGGAGAGTCACAGTGAGTTTGCTGTGGGGATAAAATAACCCGCAAGAAGCGGGCTGACAACTGTAAAGGATTCAATAAGGGCTCGGTGCTATCACTGTCCCTGTCCCCATCCTCATCATCACCAGCTCAGTACTGCTGCCTCCATGGCCACTTCTCTTGGGGAATACCTGCTGCTTGCATTCAATCCTGCCTGTGTGGTTCTCCCTGATGCTTCCAATTCTTCCTGTTGCTCCCTCTTTTCAAATAGAAGAGCACCTGGTCATGGAAGCAAGCAGGCAGGGGCACTGAGTTATTTTAAAAATAAGATTGTATTACTATTATTGTAATAAAAACATAACATCTGCATTAATGGTGAAACTAATGCTGCTTAATGTAACCAGGTATCCTGTTACTTCCATAAGAATAACAGAGCCAACCGCGAGCACGTGTGTGTCTTAGACATACATATTTATTATATCGAAACGTAGGCAAAAAGCAGCAGAGATCTGAGGGCTCTTTTTTCCTTCTGCATTACGGAGTAGCACAGATGCTTTGGGCAATGTCATACTAAAAGAATGCCATTTTCCCTGTTTCCCCACCCTCAAACCTCTTACACAATCATTTATTCTGCTCGATTGACTTTAAAAAAAAAGGTCGAGAGAAGCGAACATCTTCCAACCCCCTTTGGCTACTTCTGACTCAAATGTAAGCCTCTTCCCCAGGAACTGGAAATTCATAAGCAGAAATCAGAGGAGGGGAACCGAGACTAAGGTGCTATACATTGCCTGCCATTGAGAGGGGACTGAAAGCATCTTGAAAATCACAGTGAATGATACAAATGGAATGATTTGTAATGACTGTGAATGAAAATCACAGTGAATAATTCTTGAACACTACATCTGAAACCAATGATGTTGGCTAATTGAATTTAAATAAAAAAAATTACAGTGAATGATTTCCAATGGTCCTTGAAACAAAAAGGACTTGACATAATAGTATCATAGGGGAACCTTCGTAGGTATTTTTGGAGGCTTCTCTGTTTTCCCGGTCACATTTTGCCTATCAAATTGATAAGAGAACTTTAAGTGTAAGTATCTTGGCCATGAAGCAAAATAGTGCGAATGGGAGTCAGGAAACTTGGAATCGAATTTCAGTTCTGCCATTATCCAGCTAGTTAAAATTCTTTACATTTTGCGGCAAATGGTTCCACCTGAGCCAGGTAGGGTGGGACTGGGGTGAGTTCTCTCTGGCAGGTAGGAAACCAGGAGTTCTCAGCCTTCGCTGGGCATTAGAGCTCCCGAGGAGCTCACAGATATCCTGGTGCCCAGGTTACATCCGAGATCAATGAAATCAGCCCATGTAGGTGGGACCGTGGCCCACGCCCCAGGTGACTACAATGTATGCCTCCAGCTGAGGCCCACTGGATTGCAGGATGAATGCTGGGAGAGTGCGTGTGAAGCTTGGTGTGGACGATACGAGGAAGGAGAGCGGTCCTACCTGGCACTACGTTGGGAAGTCAACTAAGTGGGAACGTGGAATGTGGCCTGCAGAGTCTGCCCGGGGCGAGAGGCCCAATAGGGTCCAACACGGGGATCAAGCTACACACAGTGCCACGTTTGTGTTTGCGGACTCCGGTCTCATTTTGATGTCACCAGGCTTGCCTCCCTTTCTCTGTGGGCTTCTCTAACACTCGTATTTGGCAAAAATCATTGGATTTCTCTGTTCTACAGAGTGGTCAGCAGAAAGGCACTGTTAACTTGATGTTATCATTTGACTGTGTTAAAACACAAGGTGAGTACAATATATTTGTGTCTATTTTCTTGCCTTCTGAGAACTTAGAAATCCTTTCCTCTCTCCATCTAATCAAACCTCACCTGTTTTTCAAGTGCAACTTAAGGCCTACCTCCCCATCCTAGCTCTTTTTAATGCTCTCATTTCAACTCCTAGAGCATTCCTAGTAGATACCATTAAATATTTAATTGAATACCACCTTATATTGTTTGCCTAAACCATCTTCCTAAAAGTCTAGC